CGTTAGAATTTTCAATACTCAAGGTTGTTGCCAAAGCTAAGTGTCAAATGCCCTCCTCCAACTCATTTGTGGAACTCCTTTTAACGATCAAGCCAAGATCCTTCAGTCCAATGGGATGGTTCGGTCAAAGCCTTAAATGGAGGAAGGATAAAGTATTTTTGCAAAAAGTTGGGCATGGTTGACATATTTGCTCCAGCTTGAGAGAGAGTGATGTAATATATATTATTATGTATAGTCATCCTTTATTGCAACTGCACATTCTTAGTTTAGGGTTCTCTTGTGTACCCATATATAAGTGACTCTCTAATAAAGAATACATTGCATATTTAACAATACTATTCGCACAATATACCTCCTCCCCACCGCAAATATATATATTTATATATATATATATATATGTATATATATATATATATATATATAGAGAGAGAGAGAGAGAGAGAGACATATATCATAATAGAGAGAGAGACATATATCATAATAGAGAGAGAGACAAATATTTGTAATTTGAAAGGCTATCCATTAGTTGTTTCTAGGGCAAGGTTTCATTTCCTCTAAATCCCTCGGTGTTCTTCCACCTTTATTTAAAGCCATTTTATTGGATCTTACTAAAAATAAACTAAAAAATCAATGTGAAATTCAACTCTTGTATACATACACACATATATCAACAGAAATCTAAATGACACTGGATAAATAATGATTGCATTCTAAAAAACCTTAATCCTTGACTTTGAAAGAAGCCTATGATAAAACAAAAGGTAGCTCACTTACGTAGTTTCTTTTTGGTGCTATCAAAAGCCGAACAACTCTCTCCAGCCCATTCATAATGAAATAACTACAACATAATTGAAATAATCAGAATAGCCACTCCAAATATTACAACAATAAACGAAACTTCACATTGGAAGAATAAGTTGCCCCATTACAAGAATGAGATGGTTTTTATTGTACACCTACAGAATCGTAAACAAAAATATTCAATATGCCACAAACAATAACAGAAAATTAATTGGGAAACCACCAATAAAAATGGATGACATGGAAACAAAGAAGAAGGCAAGAAAATGTGGTTTTTTAGGGCATTTTTATGAAGTCTTTTTAAATGTTATTCACAGAAATAATGAAGCTCTAAAAGTTTATGCAGATTAGACTTCAATGAAATTCAGTTTCTCTCCAAAAAAATGTCTCACTAGTTCATTCAACACTTGTGATCTTCAATTTTATTGTTATCTTGAAAATCTTAATTTGACCACAAATTCGAGCAAAGATTTCACACTTTTTCGCCCAAGGGGTCTCCAATCCTTTTGAATTATGCATCTTAACAAATGCAAATTATAGAATCATTATGATATTGAACAGAACTTTGTCAAAGAAACTGGTGCCAATTTCCAGAATGCAACAATTGTACATAACAATCATGGAAATATGATTAGCAACTACAAGTTAATGAGAGAACAGAGGTTACTCTTTGCCAAGCAGTAAATTATCATAATTTGAGAAATAGATCCTTTTTTCCCAAAATAAACGTACATATATAATTGAGAAGCAATCTAAGAGAACTGCAAAAGGTAAATAACTTTCAGGTTTAACTTGCAGTTTAACAAAACATGCCTGCCACTAGAAAAGTACCTTTTCCTAACAAACAGTGGTGGCCCTAGATCTAGCATAGTTGATTGCTGATTAGCCATCAAATCAACAGAAGTGGTAATGGCTTTTTGTTTATTATAGCTTATAAATAATGAATCAACCATCAATTCAATCAGTGTTTTGCTTCGAAATTTTTTTGTAGTGTGTGGGTGGGTGAGGGGGTGGGGGCGATGCAATAAGTAAAAGAGTAAAAGGCATGGTGAAGTTACTTACCCACCCATTTCTGATGCCTCTTCTTTGTAGGATACTAGCTTCTTGGGATCAAGACCTCTCAAGTGACAAAGCTTTGACTGAGTAAAACGCACAAAGGGATTAATGACCAGGCAAAATCAGGGAAATACAGAAAAATCCAAGTTTTAAGATATTCATGAACATGTTGATGCACTTATTTGCGGCTTTCAACCTATTTCTACATCTACTTCCTTAAATTAAGATTTCAACAGACCTAAGCAACTACGGGAGTTGTTTCTACATGGGGAAAATAGATAAATATAATTATTTAATAAAGGAAAAGAAGACTGACAGTGTCATTTAGTAACAGCAATTATAGAGATATGAAACAAAACGAAAACAAAGTATGGAGCACAACCTTCAGCATTACTGGGAATTGCCCAAAATTAAATTTCTCTCTTATGACAGCTTTTTCATCGTATTGAAAACAAACATCTGCCATCAACTTGCCGGTGTATGAAATTTTAGCTTGCCTACACTGTTTGAGGGGGAAACGAAAGAAGCAGGGTAATCCATAAATCCATTAAAATCACACGAGAAGCTAAAATGAAAAAGAAAATGAACAGGAAAGATCATTCTTAATTTAAACCATACTTCAGAAGGAAGCAGAGCTTCTCGCATTGTTCTCAGATTGCGCTCCTTCTGTGGTGGGTATAACTCAGGCTTACCCAACCAAAGTGAAACAATAGTCAAGAATAACATAATATACCATCAAAATTTTATAGAAATAAAAATCAAAAGCTTCCCAATATGCATTCATGCTATAGGTTGAATAAATTTTATGGAAAGCGCACACCAAGAAGTTACATGATATTTAATCAATTAAATTCCTTTTGGTTTCTGTTTATTTTTCACCCAACTTTTCACATCGCCTCCCCACCCCGAAACCACAACTGACGTGGGTTTGTGAGGAATCTTGCAGCTCCCTCCGCCAAAAAGGTTCCATGGATCTCCTGTACCTTTCCTTCTTCAATTTTTAAAGAATCATCAACCACGATTTGTACTATGGATTAGATCCACTGGAGGTTCAATAGGAATTCCGTTATAAATCCACAGTAGTTGCCTTCAATTTAGCATGCTTCTGAGCAATCTGTTGATGGTGTTCTTTGCACATTAGATGAAGCCACCACAGCTAACTCCACATTGCTCTGAAGCCACCACATCAAACCCCTCGATCCATCACTATGTTTACACCACGAACGTGCATTATCCAAATTTACTTGATAGGAAAATAATATGTATTTTTTCTACGCTACGACTACTAAATTCATGATTGCACTCATTCGTATGCTCCAATTTCCCAACTTACAGAGAGATAAACAGTGAGAAGGATGGAAGAGAGATCTCCATCTACTTTTCCGCCACTATAAGTCAATGATTAACATCGACCGGCAAAATTATCCAATGTATGATGAGATTCGTCCAATGCATCAGTTTAAACAGACAAATCAAAGTAAACAGCAAGAGAGTAAGGCAATAAACATGCACCAGAAATCAACCCCCCCCCCCCCCNAAAAAAAAGAACCGAGCTGAACCAGCCATATTTAAAAGATAACAGAAGAATAAAACCACGCCATAAAGAATCATATGAAGGATATTTCTAAGCTTTCTGTTGGTGAAGGAGTCGTAAATTTCGACGGGTTTGATGCTGTTCATGAGAGTCTCCAATCCCGCATCGACGAGGTGATCAAACGATTCTATATGGTGTCTGAACAGCTCGCGCAACGCCTCATAGTCTTGGTTCTCGAAAAATTTCACCACCATCTTCTCCGCCGTCTTCCTCCGTCCACTGGTTCGCCGCAAAGTGCCTTTTCTCAGTCGTTCTCGACTGGTTAAGACTGTTTGTTCGGCAGGGTTTAGGAGCCGCCGGCTAGGGGTTGGCGGAGGGTTTTGGAGAGCCCGCCAACATGGTATTTATAGAGGTTAATTACCATCTTTTCTATTTTTTTTTTCTTTTTCTTTTCTTTTTAAATATATTCATTTTTTTATTACATTAAATTATAAATTTATATTTAAAACCAACAAAAAAAATTAACAACTTAATAAACTTTAATATTTTTTTTTTTATATTTTAAACAAACAAAAAAAATTTATCTACTTTTTAAATATATTTATTTTTTTATTACGTATGGTAAATTTATTTCTATTTTTCCATTTTTTAAATATATTTATTTATTTTTATATTTTAAACTAACCAAAAAAAAATTAATAAACTCGTTTTTAAAAATTTTATATTTTAAACAAACAAAAAAAATTAATAATTAATAAACTCATTCCAAAAATTAATAAACTCACTCCAAAAATTAATAAACTCATTCCTCCCTTCATCCACCTCTTTAAATATATTTATTCTTTTATTACATTAAATTATAAATTTATATTTTAAACAAACAAAAAAATTAACCCTTCTTTAAAAAAAAATTAATAACTCTTTTAAATATATTTATTTAATATAAATGTACGAGAGTAACACTCTTTATGATTGAGAATAAACTTAGGAATCGCGGCTCTGATACCAAGTTAGAAATCGAGTCTCCACGATACGATATTGTCGACATAATCTCTGACTTTGCTTGGCTTCCCAAAATGCCACATAATATTTATCACTTATAAACTCATTTTCCACGGACTCACGGCTAATAATCTAACACAAACTATAAAATTCAAAATTATTTTATATAACTTAGCGACAAAAAGTTTATGGTCAAATTCAAATTTACTCACTTTAGAATAAAACGTGATAATGAAATTATTTCCATTTTTAAATTTGTTTTTTTTATAATTATTATTATATGATTTAAGAAATTAAAAAATAATTGTAATTTAAGCATGCAATTACTTTAATATTTATATATTAAAAAATTTAAATTATTATTTTTGCCACTAAAATCCGAAAATTTTCAATAATAATATGATTTTTATACAATATTTAATTTTGAATACAATATATAGATTTTTCGATTCTTCCTTCCAAACTGCTTCCCTCCTCTCTCCCGGCTCACCTTCCAGATCACACAGGTCTCTCTCTTCCCCGTTTTCAGTTTTCCTTTGATTTTCCATTTATTATGAGTATATATGGCAGCTCCTCGGGTATATTTGTTCTTATCATCGGGCTTCTTCAGGAGCGGATTTCAGAGGTAGATCTGATGTACTTGGTGGTCGATCTCAATTACTCTTCTCAAGATCATGATGGCCCTTGAACGCAAAGGTGCTTGTTTGCTCTGGTTTCGTTATTTGAACTGTTTAAGTTTTCTCTCAACTGGTATTTGTTTCTTTTTTTGATCCAATCAATATGAATTTGTGCTGATTTAGTCGCATTCTCTTCCTCCTGCTCGAGGGGGATTCTGCGACTTTGTTTTGTTCATTTCCAAGTGATACTGAGAACTAGTAACTCTAATTCTGTATAGAGTTGTTGTTGTTATTATTTTGAGCTGAGGGTAGTTCTATTGGGAAATCGAGGAGTCAAGTGAAGAATTGATATGGACATTGCCCTTTTGAGTTGACGTTAGTTCTTGTTGCTTTTTTTCGTTATGGAATTTTGAGATCGATATTGATATAATAACACATGTATTTACAGAGTGGGTTTATGAGCACCATACTTCATAGTATCTAGGAGTTTAGATGCCAAGAGCCATTAGTCAGAACTCTTGTACTTCAACGCTTCTTTAACATTTAAAGCATTAAAGTTCGAAGGGTAGGGACTTTGTTAACTGAGAATGATCGTCTGGGTTTTTCTTCTGTGGGTTTTTCTTCTGTTTCTTTTAGGTAATTTGAATCTTAGACAGAAAATTTGAATCGAGGTTTTATTAGCTAGTTTGGAATTGAATCACCGGTGGTTCAACAGGCGTGGAATGTAATTTTAACCAACTGACTAGCACGGCTCTTTATAATTAGGTGATTCTTGCTATGGTGACATTATTAAGAGGACTTATATGAAGCAATTAACAATTATTGAATGTTAAAGATCTTCAATTTTAAAGTTAGCTACTTCAAGAGGCATGATCTCTCTACCTCTTCCGGCCGATCATCCATCTTACCTCTAGCAGCTTTTTGAATTCTTATAGTAGTTGGGAATGAAGGGTACCAGGGCTCTAGTTTAAGATAGATTATACATGTATGAAGTATCATTTGTCACTATCTCTTTTTTAAAAAAATTACATTCCTGTTGTGTGGAGTCTGTTAAGATCTCTTATGGACGTGCCGTTGTTTCTTTTGGAGGAGATAAGTAAAGTGGTTTTTAGGTTTGCAAGAGATAAGTCCCTAATGCCCTGATGGTTTCTCCATGGAGGTAATTGTGAGGGCATTAAAGAGGATTTTTTGAATGGCAATTTCTGAATTTTATGCGTGCGCGCAGGTGGGTTTTAGATGCCTTAATAAATGAAACTTATGTTTGTCTCATCCCAAAGAAAAATGCAAAACATGATCAAGGACTTTAGGTTGATTAGTGTTGTTATAAGTTTATATAAGATGATAGCGAAGACCTTGGCTGAGGTTTGAGAATTCTTTCTAGTGCAACTCGAAGTTTTCAGGAGATTTTAGTGGGGGAGGAAAATTTTAGACCATTTGCTCATCACTAACGATACCATCAAGGACTTTAGGAGGAAGAACTAATGCAACTCGAAATCTTTTATGTGGCTACAGGTCTCTTGATTTATGCCAATTCAAATGCTAACCTCCACAAGTGGTTGGGATTCTGGCTGCTTTTTTGTGCTTTTCATGTATAAATAAACTATTAGTTTCCTTCTTTAAAAAGATCACCCCGTTGCTTGTACAGTTTTGAGAGCATTTTTGCAACACCCTTGGTTTGAGGTTTTCCATTTTATATATCTTATTATTTTAAGAAAATGTTTAATATCCTATTAGATAGCTTTGGGTTTCAGTTTATTCTCATTTTCCCTCTCTCTATTAGCATTTCCAAGTTTCTTGTTCCTTCCTTTCTGATTTCCTTCCCATGACATCCTTTTTCTATTCCTGTATTTTCTTCCCCGTCCTCCTGATTTCCTCACCTTGTTTTCTTGTCAGCCATCCTTTTCAAATTTTCCCTTGTTGTGCTGTGGATGAGCAACAATGATCGAGTATGCAACTTCCAATTTTGTTGATGAGAACCGGTGTTATCTGCCCCGTAGAGATTTTCTTAGATAAATGTCAGAATTTTCATTACTGAGGAAACAATACCAGAGGTGGAAAGCAATTTTTAGAGTTCTCTACGATATTGCTATCCTGTAAGCCTCCCTTGACTTTATGTTGCTGAAATGACATCTTTTGAATCAGTATGAATCTGCCAGTCGCAAGAAATGGTAATAGTTTTACCTCTTTTATTCCTGGTTGCAATCCGGTAATTTCTCTTCCAATTGAAACTTTGACCTTTTATGAGACATTAAGTGGTTAAATAATAACTAAAACCTAAAAACTTAAATTGATAGATTACAACGAATTTAATATTTTTATCAATATTTTGATAGTTTCTCTCACTTGTGAAATTGAAAATTTATGAAATGCCTAACAAGTGAAACCAATATTAATTTGGAAAGAAATGGCAATACTTTGATATTATATCAAATATCAAATTACCAAATACCACTGGACAAAAAAGATTTAGTTGATCAGTTATAGTAAATTAAATATTTTTTAGTGCGATATCTATCTTTGTTTTCCTCCAGGAACACCTATGGTCTTCTAAATGTTTAACTTTATATCTTTATTGGATATTGTTTTAGCCATATTGACTAGAGAAACCTTCTATGTTCTCTATACAATATTTAATCCAAAATCATTTTAATTTCTTTTGCTTCTTTGTTTGCAGAAAGTATGCAGAGGAACTGTGAGGCCTCTATAAAATGCCTCCAGAATAATGGAATGCCATTCAGTCTGCAACATAGTGGAAATTCTGTTGATGGTTTCCAAGAACGTACGGATGAAATCAGTTGTTATAGCAGGAATGATATTCCTGAAACAAACCACCCATTGGTTAACAATTTTATTGAACGTCCAAATGAATTTCACAACAAACCTGCTTATCAGCATAATTCTGGATCATGGCCTGCCTTCCATTTTGACTCTCAAAAGGTGCAGCAGTGCCAGATGAGTGCTTCCGAATGCCAGTTCTACTCTTTGCCAGTGGAGAATCGCTTCCATTATGTTCCTTTCAAAATGTTTGAACAGAATTACCATTGTGATTTTCGGCTGCAAGAGTTTCAATATTTTGTGGTTATAGACTTTGAAGCAACATGTGACAAGGATAAAAATCCCCATCCTCAGGAGATAATTGAGTTCCCATCTGTCATTGTAAGTAGTGTGACTGGCCAACTCGAAGCTTGCTTTCAAACGTATGTGCGCCCAACTTGCAATCAGCTCTTAAGCGACTTCTGCAGGGATCTAACTGGCATTCAGCAAATTCAGGTTTGTTTGAAGCTTAGCTTGTTTTTCTTCAAAGAAAATAATTACGCTTGGAGGTTGCATCTTGCTGGCATGGAACAAACTTGGTGGTGTGATTGATTATCGATTTTACTTATTGTGTCCTACATTTAGGGTGTTTTTTATATTTAATTTTAAATCTTAATTTTAAAAAATATATATGATTCTTATCTTTTCTGATTCACTTATCCAATCTCCCTCCATAGTCTTAGTTTGGCACATAATTTTCTTTTAACGATTTCGATAATTTTCTGATGTTGTAATTTAGGTGCCTTTGAAGTTTGGTTCTAACGTGTGGCCTACCACTACCTATAATAGGGGTCTTCATGGGTTGGTTTGACTAAGATATAGACTTGAATTGAAACCTAGCCGAACCCTTGAAAGCCTTATAGTCTAAGGGAAGTATCTTGTGTTCCATGTAGCCTTTGGAGTCTTATATTCTCATTCTATTTCCTTTATAATTCTATTTGGTCATTGTTTATCTGTTAGGACCTTCTGATGTTTATCTTATCTCATTGCTGTCTATAGGTGGACAGAGGTGTTACTCTCAATGAAGCTCTCCTCAGGCATGACAAATGGCTTGAAAAGAAGGGGATAAAGAACGCAAATTTTGCGGTGGTAACTTGGTCAAACTGGGATTGCCGAGTCATGTTAGAGTCGGAATGCCGTTTCAAGAAGATTCGGAAGCCTCAATATTTCAACCGGTAAATGATCCTCACAAAAGCTGTTTCTATGCATAGTACAAATAATAGTTCAAATCATATCACGATAACCTAAATAATCATGAACTCGGAAGTGCACTAGAAGAACAAAATCATTTTAATGCTATTGGTTGTGCTGTTAGTAATCAATCAAGGTAGGAGCATCCTCACATTTGGAGCTTAAAATCTCGCAGGAAAAACAAACCAAACAGTTTATCATTGATACCTTCATCCTTCAGCCATTTGCCTAGTCTAACTTTTACAGCTTTAGCTGACGGAGCAACTTTTCATCTTCTCTAATTTGCCCCCAATGACTATCAAGTGTTCAGCATTTTTGTTTATCAATTACTACTGTTTATAGCTTCAGTGGTAAAACGTTCCTACATTTAGTAGGAAAGTGCTCTGTTTTTAGCTTTAAACGGACTGGCATATTTCATTTGCCTTTAGAATAGTATTCCCTTTGAATTGTTCATTGACAGTCAGTTACATTTCAAGTAAAAGAACGAACATACATCGATAAACATACTCGGTGGTGCCCATAACTTTTCACCAGTAGATAAACACGGTTATAATTACTAAAAAATTGTATATTTATATTTAGTACTGCAATTTAGTTCTTACTTCTCTCTTCTGATTTGACTGATGACAGATGGATCAACTTAAAAATTCCATTTTGTGAGGTTTTTGGTGGACAACGATGCAATCTAAAGGAAGCTGTTGAGATGGCAGGATTATCTTGGCAAGGTCGTGCTCACTGTGGTCTCGACGATGCCAAGAACACTGCACGTTTACTCGCCCTTCTTATGCATAGAGGCTTCAGATTCTCCATTACCAATTCATTGATGTGGCAGACTTCTGACTGCCCATTTCAATGGAAACAACAACCCCCAGGAGGCGTTACATTCCCGCCGCAACCGCCATTGAAATCAAAGCCTATGCACATTCCCATCTTCCATTACCACCCCTACTGTATCTGTGGGGTAAGGAGCAGCCGAGGTATGGTTCGGAAGCCAGGACCAAAGCAAGGGAGTTTTTTCTTTGGCTGTGGGAATTGGACTGCCACCAAGGGGGCACGATGCCATTACTTCCAATGGGCCTCTCCCTGATGCATGGAAAGATTTATGAATCTACTTGTTTGAAGCGTTCACTAAAGGAATTTATGTAAAGAAAAGAAAAAGAAAAAAAAGGTTGTATTGAAAGAAATGAAGCTTGATATCTGTCTCCTGATAGAAGGTGCTTGGGTGTGCTTGGTGAGGTTTCTGAGTCATACAGAACTAAAAAGAGTTGGTGGTTGAGTTATGAAACTATGGTCCTTCAAAAGTGGCGGTGCAAGCTTTTTGGAGGCTTCCCAACTTGTAAAGCTGACTTGACTTTATTGACTGGAGAACCTATTGGGGAGTGAGTTGCGAGAGTTGATGGGTAGTTTAGGATGATGCTTTTCTAATGATCGATTAGGCATGCAATTATCTGAAGGATCTTTTGGATAGCTATCCTTCGCTTTGCTTTGCTTTGCTTTTTATTCTTAATCTTAATCTAATGGCAATCAGTAGAATGCTAATATCAGCCCCCCCCCCCCCCCCCCCCCNCCCCCCCCCAATGCTCTTAATTGGTCCTATTGCTTCTTAGTCTCTCCTTTTAGACATGAACATCTTTTTTCTTGCATGGTTGTGTTACAAGCTACAACAAACATGATATGGTAGCTTTTCATCTTTTTTTTTCTTCTTTCTTTTATGAAACGGTTATTTATGCATTTTTAGAATGGCAACGAGAGGGAGAATATTAGGATTAGCGTGGAATATACCCTTTTCTTTTCATTGATGTTCAGTTATATGACTGATTGGCGTATAGTTTTATTAGGTGGAATTCATGTGTTCTTTATACTTTCTGTTTTGTTTTAGTTCGAGTGAGTATGAATATATCTATAGTGGTAGATTTTTTTGTTCATGAGTATCAACTTTGATTTAGACATTTTCTATGTTTGTGAATGATTTCTAGAGTTGCGTTCTTGAGTAGAGATGTCCACGGTGGAAATGGGAAACATTTTTTAGACGAGAACTAGTAAGCAGGTCAAAGTTTTTTTGCCTCCTAATTTGTAATGATATATTTAAGATATTAATAATAAAAATTTGTGAAATTCAAATGTGCTCCAGTTTTAAAACTGCGAATTTTGAAAGAGTGCGATTGTGATGCTGCAAATCCTGAAAGAGTGCGATTGTGATGTTACGAATCTTGAAAGAGTGCGATTGTGACATTTGTTCAAATTATTTCAAATGATCCTAAGTGAAACAATTGTATGAAAGTGAAAAAACAATCCTGAGATGCTCGTCAAATGTAAGAAGGAAACACGACTCTGCAATTAGAATACTAAACCATCTATGTTAATCACATATTAAGCCATTTTAAGCTCAGAACCTGCTAATGTTTCTATTAAACAAACAACAAGAGTGCCACATGATTTTATTAACGCAATGGTGTATGCCACATCTCTGACAGCCGCTTTAACTTCACAGATTTGTGAAATTACAAGCTTTACATGAGAAACAGAGGGCCCAAATTATTCGTAAAAATTTAGAACTAACAACATTATTATGTATGTAAAGCTTCACGCTGAATTGTAAGTTGAATGTAAGTTCAGCAAACTAAAGGGACTCTGTATGAAGATCTGTTCTTCTATGGGAAAAAAGCAGAACAAATTACCAGATCTTAAGGGATGTCAGTTTTGTACTCAATTACTCCTATGATCCCGTGTCCCTCGAGACTTTCTGGTCCAAATCATCGACATAAGTAGAATGCTTCTCAACAATATGTTCGATAATATGTTTCTCTACTTCGTTGCCAACCTGTTTCGGGTCACGCCGAACATGAATATTTTCATTATCAGTAACAAGTGTTACCTCCTCTTTGCGGGTCAAAAGTTCATTTGCAATGACCATATGCATCTTGTACTTTTTCAGAGCTGCATTGGCCTTTTCCAAGAGGATTTTTACATCAGTCTCTAGCTGTTGTTTAAGGAAAGGGAAAAAATTTAGTGAAAAAAGAAAAAAGAGTAGAAACCCATAAGGGAGTGAATATAGAAGGCAAGAAACAAAAGAAAACACAGAAAATATGAAAGCATCCCAATAAATCATAGTAGGAAAAATCAGCTAAGGTTTGGAGAGAGAACACCATGTTCAGGCTTTAATCTTGCAGAATCAAACCCTAATAAGTATCTATTGGGCAGAAAAAAGAAGAGGGTTAATCACACACTTCCACCATTGCCCTTTCTTGAATTTTTTCCAATGGGAGCTTTTTAATTGTTTTAACTTCAAACAAGATCTCCCTAAATCCATTCAACTGGCTTTTAAACAATTCATGTGCGGCAGTTATTTGTTAAACAAAGAATGGTTCTTTGAAACTCGATTCCAGCTCTCCTATGGACCGTGTGCTCTGTAAGAACTGAGGTCTATGGAAGAGATTTGGGGAGGGGATTTGTCAGTACACTTAGTTTCTTTTTTGTTCGTTATTTATTATTATTATTATTTTTTTTTTGGNGGGGGGGGGGGGGGGGGTGTGCTTTTACATTACGTAGTTTCAACCAGCAGAACATACCTTGAAAGAGATACAGTACGCCGTTGGAGCCCATTCACTCCTCAGCACTGATAGCATCTTTGGCACCTGAACAAGTCGCATGTCCAAAGGGCCTGATCCTGACTGAATCTTGTGCTCTGCCTGAAATGAAAACGCTAGAAAAATGGATAAAGGCAATGATCGGAATGTAGTTCCACGAATTGCTAAACCAATGAATTGACATTTGACGATTGAGAACACCACTGTTAAACAAATACATATCGTTCTCGTTTGCTTAAACAGGAGGAAATATGTGAATTCATGTCCTTCACAATCTATTTTCTTCATTAAACCAAGAGGTGGAGATGCAAGTATAAAACTAGCCATCCATGACAGTACAACAGTTCAAGCCTATTGATCTTTTGGACAGATACAGGCTTCTATATGACTACAGATCTCACACACAAGACACACAGGCACACACATCAGATGTAAACCACACGTATGCTGCATAAATGCTAATCCTAATTTGTGTAACAGCAAGGAAATTCAGAGATGAGAAGAATTGTTGAAGCACGCTGAATAAATGCACATTAAAATCTCTTTTTATTTGAACTGATGGTAAATAGGAAACAATTACTTTTGTGCTAAACCATTACCATGCTCTCCCATGGAACATAAAAGTCAGACACAGCTGCAGCAAGATAAAAGAGTGCGTAGGGCCCAAGACTCCTCAATGATGTCGCAACCATGTGCAATATCTGCAAAATAAAGAATACGATTAAGAAAAAACAGTAGATGATAATGCGAATAGTGGCCAAATTTTGCCGAACTGTACATGCCATAAAATAGAGAAGTTTTTTCTGGATCAAAAAGAATATTTAACCACCTATGCTTATAAGCTCTTAATATGTTCCTACACAAACTTGTTGAAATAAAGCTATATGCATGAACTAGATCAATTACTTGATACATTGGATTGTGCATTTTGACCTAGACGAATATTAAGATCAGATGCAAGTATGCACCACTGTTACTTTTGTGTCCTTTTTATCGTTTGTGGGAGTAGTACTAGTATATAAAGGGGCTTCTCTCCATTGCAAATACAGAAAGTAAATTTTTTTTTTTTTTTTTTTTTAAAAAAAGACATTCGAGAGAACTATTTTCTTCCCTTGTGCTCAAGTTTGATAAGTTTCACCTCTTTAAACTTCTAGGATCTAGAGTGGTATTTTCACTTGTGAACCCCATGAATATGCTTTCCTCAAAACTTGCATAATTTGAAACTCTGGCTTTGAATTAAAGATATTGCAAGTTTTGACCAATATAAGGCATATATTCTAATACTAGATCGCTCCTGCAGCTAGCACACAAATATGGACATAACGTAACCTAAAAGATCGGGTTCTAACCCAAAAAGAAAAAGAAAGGAAAATTACCTGAAGATACTCAAAAATGGTTGTGAAAGGAAGTTTCAGAAGTGTGCCATCTGCTACTGCCTGCAATATGACCACTCAAATTTTGCTAATCGATGGTATTTCCTTATCAACCAAGCTAGATATGGGCAAATACACAGAAAATATAAAGAAAAATCAGAATCAAAATTGAGTGATGATACTATTAATTAGTCCATACAGCATGATGCTCACTGATTGCCCACTTCACGGCTTCTGAATAAGGCTGGCGCACTGTATTTGGAAATGAATTAAAGTCACCTCACTATGAATTATAACAATTAATCAACAAAATAAAAGTGTGCTAGAAACGTTACTTAACCCTGGGCCCCAGATAACAAAAAACTTCCTCTTTATTAAATTCACCAAATAATAAATCAGTCATCCCAAGTCGTCCCTAACTATTTAGAGTGAGGATATTGTACATAAAGTCACTATTCCACCCAAAAGTTTACTTTTAGTTCAAAACAAAAGGAAAGTTTCCGTGTACACCTATGAACAAATGCTGTTTTCAAGAACTACGATGTATCCAACAGAATACGCAGGAAATTAATTTCCCATCGACAGCAGATGACACTATCACAGACGTAACCAGCATAGCATGGATAAAGTTAAGGACCAAAAAAATCAAAAACCTTGAATGCCTGACCCATGGGTGAACTCAAAACACTCGAGGAATGGATAATCAGGAAGCAAACTGCAATATGGTTGACAGGTTCCCCTGATCACAGAGCCACAAATTAGCCCAGGAGAGTATCAAGCTTTAACCTGGAACGATTCTTACACTATGCGGTTCCAACAAAGATAAGTGCGTACTTCCGGTATAAGAAGATAACCGAATATCCAGCCTTCAAAAAGTACCTAGGAGAAATTGGCAAGATCACTTAAAAAAAACAATGTGTGATCTCTAAAATAACACATGTGAAGTGTAATGTCATTTACTCTGTGGATGCTGCACCTCTGTGACCTGAGCTGAAGTTGTCTATATAGCGAACACATTTTTGCTCTAAAGGAACTGTGGTGCCCCCAGATGTCACACAAACAACTTTCCTGGCACTTCTAGTTCCTATACTTGCAAGTAAATTGATCCAAAAAAAAAAAAAACAAATTAGGTAAAATTACAAGTTTAATTACTCAATTTTTTAGGACGGTTTATTTAATCATTGTACTTCAATAAAGTTTGTAACAGATATCTACACTAGATAAGTGTTAAGTAATGCAAGTACTGGCAAGGTAATCCCCCAAGTAGAATATTAGAGAATAACAACTAATCAAAACAAAGAGACATGCTTAAGAGATTAACGAAGAAAGAACTTGCCAGATGAATTCATTTCAATAAATTTTTTCAAATCTTCACTGACGTTCTCAATATTCCTCAAAGGGGGAGCTGAATCAAAAAATGATTTGATTTCAACATCTAGGGCCTCTTGCGCTTTCTGCTGTCCGTGTACATCCATTTGGAAATGTCCTCAAAGAGAATCTATATCAAAAGCTCGCCCTGAATTTCAACATGGAAGAAATTTTAAACACAATATAACGTGGATTGAAAAAAAAGAGAGAGACAGACAGACAGACAGAACCCATAAACACCACTAAATATTTTATTTGAGAAAGAGATTTTATTTGAAGCAAATCCCTTTTTTCTTTGCCTTTACGAGTTGAAGAATTCGGATTTTGATTCTTTCGTATCTTCATAGAAAAATTTGAGAAATAGAACCATCTTATTTGGACTCTAGGAAACAACAGCATGTTAACAAATGCATCCAAAGCATTTGTGAAATGCCCATTGTGAACGCAGCCTGATATGACTCCATTCAATGAATTAACCCTTGGGCTCAACCCTTTTCTTGTGTGGTCCAGGTATTGGAGAGCAGCGTCAATCTCTCTATAGGGAGCAAACCCCGAGATTAGTGCATTCCAAGATATCAAATCAGGCCTCAACCCACTTGATCGCATCGAGTGAAATGCTTCCATCGCCACATCGAAAATACCTTTTTCCATGTAAGCGGAAGCAAGCACAGTCCACGAAACCACATCTTTTACACTCGTATAAAGAACATTGATCGAAAATCTAAAATCCCCACAATTACCATAGAAGTTCATGAGAGCATTCCTAATGAAAATATCAGAGATCAACCTCTTCTCAGTGACATACCCACAAACCATTTACTTGTCTTCACCCATTGTCTTCTAGAACATACTATAAGAATCGTAAGCTCAATGTGTTTATCAGGTAGTATTCCCTCATCAAGCATCGATCTGAATGCCACAAAAAGATCACTCCACTAATCTGACCAACAATACGCCCTAAACCAGAGCTGTGTAATCTGGCAATTTTCTCACAGGAATTTCATCGAACAGCTTACAGTCGCTATCCACAAAACTTCACATTAAACTTCGCCAATTTGTTTGCAAACAAACCATCAACTCAACGAGAATTCAATTTAGCAACCTGAACATTACAGCTAAACAAAACTAAAGTACGACCAATTGGGATATTAGAACCTACATCATTACAACCCGTACTTTTGGCAATTGGAAAAAAACTAACACTGGGATCTTTATGGACCGATACCGCGTTGAAATGCATCCTACAAGCTACATTCATGGAATTTCGGGAAAATCTAAAAAATTAACTCTGAAGGCGATGAAAAGCCAGAAGAAGCATTGTTTGACGAAAGAAAACCATGTTCCTGAGTTGCCATATTCGGAGGAAAAAGCTGAAACCAATCCACATAGAAAAAGAAAAAACTACATGACCTCGGAATTTAAGGATGTACCTGATCTGTGTAGAAGATTGGCAGAGAAGGAGATGGAGACGGTGAGGAAACTTGAATCTGTACTGCTCGGAAACTTTTGCCGCGTTATCGTTCTAAATGGGCGCTCTTTACAGGTGAATCAAGGATAAGCATAAATTTGTGTTTATCTTCAAATTAAAATTAAAAAGTAAATTAATAAAAATATTCCAAAACTTATTTAACACTAGTGTGTCTGATGTTCCCAATTACCTAGTTATCATGAACAAGAGCGATCGTAAATAATTAAAAGTTATTATCTATATCGAGAATGATACATTATTTTTTGGTGGCTCAATCATAGAAATTTTATAGTTATCTATGCTTTAATTTGAGCAATTCTATATTGAGTGATCTCGTACGAATTTTGTAGAATATAGTGAGTAAGGACAAAACATGTTGAAAAGACTCGTGTGTTTGTGCAGATAGTATACACTTTTAAGAAGAGATGAGTAGGTAGCGTGATCATGTCACAAGAGATGCAAGAGAATGTTAGGGTGCATAAGTGTTAAATCCGAATTCTGAATCTTATACAGCGTTTGTGTCATGTTACAAAAGAATGTCGGGACACATAGGTGCCGAATCAATATTCTAAATCCTGTACAGCATATATGCAACATGATCACATTACAGGAAAATGTCAGGGTGCATAGTGTCAAATTCAAATTCTGAATCTTGTACAACATTTATGTATCATGTTACAGAAGAATGTCGGGGCACATAGGTACTGAATCAGGATTCTAAATCGTGTACAACATACATGCAACATGATCATTTCACAGGAGAATGTCGGGGCACATAAGTTTCTAAATCCGGATTATAAATCCTAGACAATATCTAGGTAACGTGATCATGTCACAAGTAAGGTAAGAGAATGTGTAGGTGCCAAATTTGGATTTTGAATCGTGGTCAACTTTTCGGTTGGACGTACCAGGTATTTTAGTGGGCTTGAGCTTCGGTAGTTTTAATATTGGGCCTAAGCCCAATTATGGTCGGAGCTTTGATAGTTCTTTAAGTGGGCTTGAGCTTCCGTGATTCTAAAATTAGGCCTAAGCCCAATTATCGTATTGGGCCGTGCTAGTTTTTAGTGGGCTCAAGATATTGGGCTTGAGTTTCTGAAGTTTAAATATTGGGCCCAAGTCCAACTCGATATTCAATTAAAGCTTCCCTGATCTCGAAACGCCGCACCCATTCTCCCAATTCCGTTTACGTTCGCTGATTTTGGCGGGTTTTTTTCTTCTTTGATGGAGATGGAATACTCTCCTTGAAACTATGCAGAAAATCCTTGCATTACTTACAAATTACTGGTAATTTCTATCTCTTTGATGATTCTGCAAGTTTATTTAGTGTCTTGCTATTATGTTGTTTTTCTGCTGCGGGGAGGGAAGCTGGTGGACTATGTTCTGTAGATTTGAAGTATTTTCGAATGGCTTCTTGAATTTTAGAACTGAGTTTGCTGTTAGGCTGCATTTGATTCAGATGAAGGATAAGTATATTAGCCGCGAAATGGCAAATGATAAGAAATGTAGGCGTTAAGATCATATTATGCGTTTGCAAATGCAAGTTGATCATAGTAAATTTGGTGGACCATGTGCTGTAGATTTTCAGTATTTTCGAACGGCTTCTTGAATTTTAGAACTGTGGGATTGCTGTTAGGCTGCATTTGATTGAGCTGAAGGATAAGTATATTAGCCGCGAAATGACAAATGATAGGAAATGATTGGAAATGCGTTTGCAAATGCAAGTTGACCATAGTAAATTTGAGAATTTACAACAGATAGAACTTCAAATTTTAGGTCGGATGAACTTTACTATTGCTAGAGATCGTATACCATATTTTTCTGAAAACTTCAATGATGTGATTCTTCATTAACTGTTGGATTGTTTGACCTTTATTTTAGATATCTATAACTTAGCTCCATGGTTGAGATACTTTCATTCTTTGCTCGTTACTTTGAGGCCTTAGTTTTTAATGATGAATTCTACGCTCTGCGTTTGTCATGGTAGTCAGTTGTAGTATGCATGACACCGTTTCCTGTGATAGAATGATCTTAAAAAAAAATTTCAAGTTTGTCTTTGATCTTAAATCTCAATTTCAACCTTTCTCGATGTCATTGGGGAGTTTGATGCTGGACATTAAGAAATAATAGGGGTGCAAGGAGGAGAAGAAAAACAAAGTGATAACAAAAAAAACGCGATCAACCAATTCAACATATTTTATGTATCCAATAAGCTCATCAATCAATACACAATAGAGTTAGATTTAGAATCTAGTTCCCGTTCTTAGATATTTTTAATGTTTTGATACCCATATTTTAATATGTTTCATTACAGTCCTTTTAGAAACAAACCAGTTTAATCCTTTACATTAATTAGCCAGTAAAATAGTCAGAAAAAGAAGGAAAAAAAAAAAAATTAACATGGTACCCTGTGGAAGTGCATTAGTTTGTGTGTGTAGGCAACTGTAAATAATCTCAAGGATTTCAATATTTCTTCATATTTGACTGGATATTGAACGATGGGAACCACTATGTTATGCTTGTACAGGTATAGTGATTGAACCGAATGAACCAAAATTAAAGAAATAAGTACTTAACGAAAACTATAATTTTGGTTTAATTAATTGTCAGCCTAATGTAAGAGTCGGAAGCTAAATAAAACTATAACTAGATTACGGATCGAGATCTTTATAGAATTTCAGTTAACTGATTTTTGAAGTATAACCTTTTATTTTTGCCTAAAATAGGCATCTTTTTTCCTCAAAATTTTAATTTGACATCATGACAAACAGTCTCATATAAAGGTTATGGGATTCTACATAGGTTCTTCTTTTTCCCCCCACTAATGTACTGTGGTATAAAGCCTTCCATGTGCAGTCGTGAATTAAAGCTTTCAATTAGAAGGGCAATTATGAAAACGATGTAAAAGCTTAAAGAAGAATAAAAATTGTAAAAGTGAGGGACTAAAATTGAAAAATAACAATAATTTAGGGGCTGAAATTGTAGTTTGACCCCATATTTTGTTTGTTAATGCCATTTCCTAATAGAACTATCAACTCGCTTATAACTTTCCTAGTAACAAACATATTAAATTTTAACGATTACTTAAATTGTTTGATTTCTTTGTTGCCCTTGCATCAGATCTGTATTGTATGCGCGCATAAACGTAATTTTTGCAGAAAGAGTAAAGGTTAAAACCATGGATATGGATATGCTTATGGTTACTCATATAAGTGCATCCTATCGGGCAGCATGATCAAAGCCATCATATTTGTACTATTGCTCCTCTACGTTGTCATCACCTGGGGTCACATTCATGGCTTTTTGGGTGATTAAATCGCAGTGAAGCAATATATTGTTTTGTTAAGATGTGTATTGAAGCCATCATATTTTTACTATTGCTCCTCTACGTTGTCACCCCCTGGGGTTATATTTGTGGTTTTTTTGGGTGATTAGGTTGCAATAAAGCAATTGATTGTGTTGATAAGATGTGTATTGAAGCCATTATTTCACTTCTGGAAACTTTTAATCATGATAAAGATATTATGAGGTTATGTATTGTTTTTTTTAGCGGGTTGACCGAATACCACACATTTTGTTTTCTATCCTGTGCTATGTAATAACGGAGGGAGATTGGAAAATATTAACGTATTGGGTCAATTTACCAGCATTCTGTACAAGTCTTTAAATAGCTTTACTAGGCACAGATATAAACTGAGTTAATTTCCCAACCAATCAACGGTAAGTTGCTATTGTTTAAATAGAAGAATGAAAGAAAAGGGAAAAACCTTTAACACTGTGCATGTACAATGAAGTTTCGACTGAGTATACGTAAATTGAATAAACAGTAAGAACCGGATGAATAGATATTCTTGACGTTTCAAATTAGCCCATTGTCCAAGGCCTGTAAATCAACCTTGTTCATGACTATACTGAAATGAAGTTGTAGCCAAGGGTAACACTATTCTTAAGTGATTCCATAGAATTTTCATTTATTGGTATTAATTAATATTGATTTATTCGTGTATTGTGGCTATTATTTTTTTTTTCTTTAGGATACCTGATTGTCCGTAGCTGTTTGAGGATTCATTTGTTCTTAGACAGGTATTTCTATTATATAACATTGAGGTGGTTTAGATGAAATTTGCAGACTCGCAACTTGAAGATTTGGCAGGATACAGCTTAGCGAAATCTATGGTATTGCTGGTGGTATAAAGTTGAGGCTGAGTATGGTTACTGAAATAACGGTGACATAGTCAAGGAATCGTGTGGGAGATCCTTTTTCCGGTTAAAGTGCGAGGATCAAACATCCAATATTCTAGAAATTCAGATGCACGATTTCTTGGCTTCGCATTGCTCAACATGGTAACAAGATGAACCTGTTTTTCATTTGTTTTCTCTCCAAATTCTCTGTTCTCATATTTTTCAATTGTATGCTGTAAATTAAACACAAAACAAAGTCATTCACACTTTCACAGAATGGTTTTATGATTTTCATGAAAAGAACTCGATTAATTTACTCCCCACGAGGAAGTTTAGAGAAAAGAAAAGAATATCTATTTTCAGTGGCCTATTATAATTCATTTGCTGGTCTGTATCTTCTTTACAGCTTATATGTTTCGTAATTATGAAGTTACAGTGGAAAAAATCGAGTGTTTCCAAATGAGTCATGTTTATAAGCATAGGGATGTCTCAGCTGGGGTTACATGCTCTGAAAACCGACACTAAAATTCTTAATTATTAATGTCTGAGAGGAATATCTTTCTTCTTTTTTATATCTCTCTTCTTTTTTTGTTCTTGGGGAAGTAAAAGAAAATCATTATCTCTGATGATTATTGAAAAGAAAGTGTGCTTTACTTTAAGGACTAGGGAGCTGTTAGCGATCAGGCGTCTGCCAGAACTTGTTCTCTGAACGGCTGACCTCTACTACAATACAGCGAAGCCTGGTTAGTTTATTTCCTTCCTCCCCACCCTCTGTTTATATATCTGTCTGTTTTGAATCAGCGCGCTACAATTTGCTAGCTCTTTTTGTAACCTTTTAAAACAGGCTATGCATGAGATTCCTGCAAGAGACAAAAAGCATGAGATGCAGTTGCAACTTACAAAGTGAGCAATTCTTATCTTTCTTTTCCAATTCTCGTGTTATATTTCTGTTTCCCTCAAAACCGATAGAGAAAAATCAGCAAAAGAAGAAACCAAAATTATTCGATAGAGGAAGTGAGAAGCCAGGAGATGTCCGGAAGAAGGATGATGAAAGAAGAGGAACCTTTCATCATCAGACTCCATAGCTTTCAAAGGGAACCGAATCAGACAAAAGCTTGGGGGTAAGAAAAGGATGTTACTTTTGGGGGGAAAATATAGAATTAAAAGAAATTAAAAAAAGAAACCAGGAATCTCACTGTACGTATTGCCTTTTACAGCCCCCTCTAAGCCCCCACTTTTCATCATTCTTTCACCGCTAAAATGATTATTCATATTTACTATCCCAACTAAAAGTCTTAAAAGACACCGCTCTGCCCGAACTGAACTGGAGAGAGGGACATCACTTCTGCTAGAATACCAAACACTCAAAAAAGAAGATGAAATTTTTTGGATTATCCTCCCCTCTTGTATTGGAATATTAACCCATGTCTCTCTCTCTCTCTCTTTGAAAATTACAAAGAAGCTTCTTCCTTTCCTTTCCATTCCTTTTGTTCACTCAACTTTCGTTTTCTTCTTTTCTGCACAAATATGCGGGACATATATATTATAAATTCTAATGTATTTTCATGGGTCAGTCTTATTGGACTTGGGTGTTACTTTAATGTTGAGATGATGCAGCCCATTGACCTTTTTCCATGTTCTGTAATCTTTTTGACTTTTCAGCTGGTCAAAATTTTCAATTCAAATAAACAATCAAGGATATTATTTTGATTGTACTGTCCAAGTAAAATTGTTTTACTGTTTTACCTGTTCATTTTAGATTCTCATCTTCTTGACCATAAGCTTGATTAGATATTTTTGCAATAAAAAGATTATAACAGATTTAATAATAGTCCATTTTTCGTATTAATTATTTTATTGGCTTCTCATTTCTTTTTTGCCCCTTCATTTACCTGTTGATTGTTTTTACTTTGTAGAGGATTAAAGAAAAAACTGGAAGCGAGAAGCAGGGAAGGGTTAAAAGGTACAACAACTCCCAACAATTGATTCTTCTACTAGTTTTTTTCAAAGTTTTTTTCTTCTTCTTTTTTCTTTTTTCTTTTTTTTTTCTTTTTTCTTTTTTGGCCTTTGAACCATAACAACTACAATATTTTTCCATCCCTGTGACTGTCTACCTGTGGCTACAAAAGTCCAAAAGCTTCTTCCTGCCTTCAACGATTTCATCAATGAAATCATCAAGTTGGCAAACAATATTCTCAGCTCCAGATCTCAGCACCCCAAAACAGGCTCTCAAATTCTCAACCCTTTCTCTAATTCCAATCTCTGTTTCCCATTCCACTACTCCCTGCGACCCCATCCCCACCCATCCCTCCAATTCCGCCCTCAATTCCTCCATCGCCATCTTCGACCTCCTAAACTCGTACAGCAAAATCCCAGGCCTCCCGTTCATCTGACCGATTTCTCCGGCAACTCTCTGCTGCAATCTCGCCGTCGATATCATAAAAGCTGAACCAAAAAACAGGCACCCTTCATACCCTCCTCTTACAAAATTCGATTCCGGCCAACAGTAAACCAGTCCGTAGAGTAAGATCATGAGGAGGAGTGAGCTCACATTTCTCATTGCGTACAGAACTCCCCTGAATCCATTGAATCCGTTCAGCTTTGATTCGATCGATACTTTTTCATCAAATCTTAGAGAGAGAGGTTGAATTCTTGCTTCCATCAGTGCCCGATTCTCCTCCTCCAATCCCACCGCTTCCCGTCGACACCCTGATATTGCTCTAATCACCTGTATTTCAAAAGGTCGAAATCTCTTAGATTATGAACCCAATGCTTCCAAACAAAACAAAATAAAACAAACTAACACACGATGAAAATTTAGATTGGGATTGGTATTGGGATTTTCGAAATGGACCTGGCGAGAAACTTGTGAACTCAGATGGCGATGAGTATCGAGAGAGGAAGTGATATTGAACCCAGCAGAGTAGAAATTTTCGATGCCAGAAATGCCTGATTTGAGGACATGGCAGGCGTCCCACAGCTTGGAACTCTCATCCATATACTCATCCAACCACTTCTCCCCCACAGGCAAATGAAGCTTTTGGACAAGGAGTGTCAATTGGGAATGAAATGATCGGAGAAGTGAAAGAACCCTTTGAAGGAATTGGATTGACATGAAATTATTTGAAAGGTATACCCGTTCTAGATCATCGATCCCTCGAGTCAGAAAGGTATAGAAGCCATTGACAGAGTTGGTGGAGGAGGGATCCATTGTGACCTTGTGGCAAGGAGAGAGAGAGAGAGAGAGAAGAGAGAAAGAGAGAGAGAGGACAGAGAGAGGAGGGGGGGGNGGGGGGGGGGGGGGGTAGAAGTAGAAGAGGGGGGAGAAATTGTTATTAAGAAGGCTGGTATTTAAATTGAAGAAGCATCGAGAAATTAAAAGGAAGGAGTGGGAAGAATGGGAATTAGAAATCCAATTCTATATCTTTTTAGAAGCTCAGGTTTCTAAGGTTGAAAAGGATTGTTGGGAGCAATGATGGGTGTTTCCTATAGGGGGGAAAGGATGATTGGTAATATGCCATTTTCATTGTTAAATGGGCAGAAAGAAAGAGAACCCAAAAAATAATCTAAAATTCTCAGAAAATAATTAAATTTATAAAACAGTATGTGAATTTTTGCAGAAGAAGAGGAAAATAAAACCCCCCAAAAAGTTAATAGAGAGAAAAAAAAAATCACCTAAACTAAAGTTTTAGCCCATAGGACCACAAATTTCCCATGAACTCCCATCCAATTTCTCCCTTTTACCCTCTCTCCTTTAAAGTAGCTCCCATTTATCACTCTTACATACATAAAGTTGAGAGAGACATAGATAGAAAGAGAATAGTTGTGACAAAACTTTTTTTTTATTTTTTTTATTTTGTTTAACTTATACCGTATTAGTACAGTATCTAATTATATAGTAAGAAACTCTCGAATGTTCTAATAACACTCATTTGAAAAATGAAAAAAAGTTGTTAATGGTACTTTATTGAAAATGACTCAAAAATAGTTTGAAAACGAAATTATTTTGAGCGATTTAAAAAAAAAACAAAACAAAAACAAAATGTCTAGTTCATCGTATACGAGCAAGTGACTTTTGCTTCTTTAATCTCCTATCTTCCATTCCCTTGAAATTTGTGTGTTTGCGAGAAGGAGAGAAGGGGAGGTTGTTCTTATTTTTTATTTATTTATTTTTTGATAATCCTAGATTTTCTTTTATTTACTTTCATTGATTTTTTCAAAAGAGTGAAGTTGGAATGATGAGGTTCCTTGTATATAATAATGCATTTTTCGAAACTTTCTACTGTGCTGAATCATTCTTTTTAGGTTTCAATTTTAAAAAAAAAATATTTTTATTGCCCTTTTTTATTCTTTGAGGGACAAAATGGATATGCTCATCTCCCCAAGTCTTCTAGCCCACTTCCTTCCCCTCAACTAATGTTTTTAATATATTTTATTTTATCTTATCCCACAATATAAAGTTGCAATAACCTTCCAACTTTTTTTTAATTTATTTGTTTCCTTCCAATTTGAAATTTAAAAAAATCCGAAAAAATGTCTCTGTATTGATAACCAATCTTTAGTAGTTTTCACTGTTTGATTCCCATCTTGTTATTTTGTCAAAAAGTTTTATTTTTTCCCATCTTATTATTTGATTTCAAATTTATCTACTTTTGTGAAAAAAGAAAACATTAAAATTATTATTTGATTTTTAAATTATATGGTCCAAATTTTATTTTCAATTTTGGGAGAGAGAAATAGAGAGATCCCATTCACAAAGAAGCCCATAACTTTGGTAGGTCTTAACTGCGACCTATCAACTGCAAATCTACAAATGAAATTTCATGGGTACGATCAGATGGGTCCCAGTTTTTTGTTCTTCCTTCACTCCCAATAACTCAATTTATTCAATTAACTGCAGTTATATCTTCAGAGATTCCCTTATGTTTTCCTTTTTTTTACTACTTAGAATTATTCCTATAATACATTTGTTTTCCTTCCAATTCTTAGGACTGTGGACCTTGATATCTTAACCCTATAGGTATTAGCAAACAAATAAAAAAAAGAAAAGAAAAGAAAAGAGTGTATAAAATAATTCATAAGAATTAATAAAAGGAGTGGCGGAGTTGAGTGCTCGTGGGGTTTTGAAGAATGGGACGTGTTTAGAGTATGTTGGTCTTTTGAGATTTTCATTGGAAAGTGAATTATAAATAAAGTAGGCAAGCTTGCATTATTTAAGGGCATTGATTTGGGCACCCCTCCCCTTCTCTTCTCCCTTTCGACCACCTCCTCTCCAAAATTACTTCTTAACCCTCCTTGTCCTTTATGCTTTGTACTTCACTCCTCTTTTATAGAATTTTTAGTATTTTCCACGAGTATATATATCCATAACTCTTTTTTTCCATGAGAAAAAGGTTTCCTTTTCTTTTTTCACCTTGTAATTAGTTAACCCACTTTAACATTAAATTTTAAAATCGATATTAAGCTTTATCTTTCCTTAAGATTTGTGCTTAGCTATGAGTATTTTTTTTTTTTTAAATATATATAAATTTGAGTAGTCTTATGGTTGGATGGAACTATTTTTGTGATTACTTGATAACCCTCCTTGTCCTTTATACTTTATGATATTAAAATTTTGTGGTTAGTTATGAGCTTTTTGTGTGGTTGGATAAGACTCTTTTTGTGGTTATTGGCCTTTGGATCGTACTGGATTAGTTGCGTTATAAATTTTGTTATTGAATTTTGGCAGTTTTTCTTCCTTTTTTTTTTTTTTTTTTTTTTTTTTTTTTTTTTGGATCATTGCAATAATTGTAGTCAAAGAAAAGTGAGAAAAGGAGTTGATCTTACTACTGAAGTGAAATGGAATCAATTAAAAAACTTAGACACTAGAATAGGATTCAAAACAAAAACACATATCTCTATCTTTGATTGAGATGGAATCGTTTTTTAAGGCATCTGATTTAAATAACACACCATTTTAGTGAAGAAACCAAAAACCCCACTTAAATGCATCCAAATTCTGCCTACTTAGATTGAGGTAGCTGAGGATTTAGGATCAGCAAAATGATAAAGGGTTGCTTGGTTATAAAAGGTAAAGGTGGGATACCCATCTTTTATTATGCTTTTTTATTCTCATTTATATCTATAATCATAGGGATCCCTCTCTCATAAATAATACAAAAGATGGAGAATTCATTTATTTGAGGATTCTTCCAAAGTTACAACTACTTGGACGAATACACTCCAAAGAAAATAGGGTATGGTATATTATTAGTTTGAAGATAGTTTTAGTGGTTGTGAGATCCCACATCGACAAGAGAAGGGAATAAGTATGAGTATGGACGCTTGGCTCCCAAGGGAGTGGATAGGGGAACGTAACCTTCTTTATAAAGGTGTGGAAACCTTTTTCTAATTGACGTGTTTTAAAAAAACTTGAGGGGAAGCCAAACATACAATATCTACTAGTGGCGATCTACTAGTGACGAACTTAGACTGTTACAGTAGTCAAAACTTATTTTTTTTTTTTACAAGAAGCCAAAAATTCGAATTCTCACTTAAAAAAAAAAAGTTAATAGTAAATTGATTGGTTAGACCCACGGTGTTTTTTAAAATAAATTTGAAAAAAGAAAGATGAAGTGCAAAGTGTTTGCATTGAATGAGAGTGTGGAAGTGATAGGAAGGGCCTGAAATTGTGAATTGGGGTCCAGGATGGAAGTGAAAAGTAAGCAAAATGGATGGCTAGATTTGAGTGGCAAGATCGCTTTCATCATCATCACTGTGGTTAGCCCTTAGGAGAGAAGTCCCTATGGGGAAAAGAATGTTTCACTTTCTTCTTAATGGCCTTAGATGGATACAACTGGATGGTCCATAGCCCCTCAATACATTGAAAATGATTCCAAGGAATATTTTCTTCACTTACAAAACTTACATAAGTGGGACATCCTTTCTTATTCATATAATTTATTTCCATTACACTATTATCCTTTCAATCTTATATCATACGTACTTAGATTTGGTTCCCTCCCATTTTTATTTTTTATTATTTTTATTTTATAGATAGAAATTCTATTATTTTTAAATTCATAATTCATTTTTTTTCGAGATTCCATACATCTCTTGATTACTAATCATCTAATAATTTCTTCTACATTTGTTTTATTTTATTTTATTTTTTTTTCATTTATTTTTGTTGAGGATTATTGAGAGAGGAGTCCGGTGTTGATTAAGGGGTTGATCATAGGTTTATAAGTAAGGAAGGAATACTATCTCCACTTATATGAAGATTTTTTAGGAAACTAAAAGTAAAGCTATGAAAGTTTATTCTCAAAATAAAAAACATCATTTCATTGTAGCGAGTCGTGATTTCTAACCATTTTTGTTTAGTTGAGAAAAAATGTTTGATCCAAAAGCTACCGTAGATCGTTTGAAATATTAATTTGAAAGACGAAGAATATGGGAACAGCCCAAGGAGGCGAAAGGTTTGATAAGCCTTGTCTTGTAGAAGTGGCTTACCAAATATTAATCCCATATATATATATATATATATATAATTTGGCTCCAGTAATTTTATTTTATATGATAGTTTCCTCTTGATTTGATTACTATTTATTAAAAACTTAGAAAATGAATTGAGGCTCAATAATTATTTAGACACTATTTAATAATTATTTAGGACGAATTATTATTCATTTTATTATACTTCCCTTTTAAAATTTCCTAAATTGTTTAATAATTGAATTGTATTCTATATATAGCCTAAGGAAAGTTCTATTTTAGATATACTTCGACTATTTACTTTAACAAAAAAAAAAAATATATATATATATATATTTGGGTCTAGAAAATGATATAATTTCAAATATGGTATTATATAATTTCTAAACTTTAAATAAGATATTATTTTAGTCAATGCCATTAACTTTTCCTTAATCATTTATCAAAAAATTGGATTTTATTTCCAATTATTTGGCTTCAAGTGGTTATTTTATGTCAACAGAATGGTATAAATGAAGTGAAAAGCCTAAGATTTCCAAAAATTAACAATAAATAAATAAATAAGATTTTTTAAAAAAAAAAAATTTGTGAAAAAAATGAATTAAAATGATGTTTTTGGGGGGTTAAAGGCAGTGGTTGGGTTAGTGTGAAGCAAAATAAGGAGGATCTAACATCAAATCCTATCCTATAGGAAATTGATGGCAATCTTAGCTATAAAAATCATTACCAATTATTATATCAAAGTTTCCTCTCCCTTCAAAAAAGATTTAGCTGTCTAAGAAAATTACCAAATTTCAGTACATAAGAGAATGTCACATCCTTCAAACCAAAAAGAAAAAAACACAAATCTTATTTTTTAAGGTTTACACATTGGATGAAATGTCTATTGGTGCAACAGCTCAAGTTTGTAGTTAGTAGATATTATCGCTTTGGTCCATTATGTATCGTCATCAGTTTCATGGTTTTTAAATACGTTTGTTAGGGAAAAGTTTCCACACTCTTATATAAGCAATGTTTCGTTCCCTTCCCTAACCAACGCGGGATCTCACAGCTATATTTGGGAAACCAAACTTCTCATGAAAATAAATAAGTCGAATCCTTTGAAAGAGATGTGGGCATATCGATCAAAATTTCCTCTTGATACGATAGAATATATTTAGTCTAGGTCATTTCTTATGTACCCATCTTTTCTGAGCCTTCGAGAAATTCATTATCTGAAAACCACACCTTAGAAGAATTCCTACCCGACATGATTGTTAGTTGTTCATCCCAAGCAACGCATGCAAGCTCGTGAGTTCTTAGCCTTTAAATCTTCTTCTCTAAGGTGGAGGTGTACGAAGTTCGCCTAGATGGCATTTGAGTCACCTCGAAATTTGCCACCTCGGCCTCAACTTAGGTTCCTAATTGAACGTTTGACCCTTCTTTTAATGAAAGTATTGATTGATCTAGAATGTATAAAAGAAGGGTCAAACGCTCTTGAAATATTATTATCATAGTTCAACTAGTTTAGTCATACGTCATCAACCAAAATATTAGAAGTTCGAACTTATTTAACTCTTAAAAAATGATTTATTTTTTCCTTATATTAAAAAAAAAATCAAAGAACGATGCAAACCAATCATATCTAAGTAAATCGGTTTAACTTTTCATGACAAAATAAAATAATTATAATGTAAAAATCTAAATATAAAACATAAAATCAACCCAAGATTTTGAATATGATTAAAGATCCAACTTGGAAAAGCAAAATAATAATAATAATAATAATAATAATAATAAATTGTAAAATAAGGTTGGATAAATGTGCAGAAGATTGGCCTCCTTCCCAACCAAAGAAGAAGGGTAAAAATTGAAATTCACCCCGTTGGGTAAAAAGGTAAAAAAGAGGAGTAAAAAATGAAAGCGACACGTGGCGAGTCATTAAGGCTAAACAACCCTCCCTTTCTCAATTGACATTTGACCCCACCTTATATTTATTCTAAACTTTTTAACTTAGAATTTCAGCCACTTGCTCATTTGGATAAGAATTAGATATTTAATTCATAAATAATTATAAAAATATCTCTCTCTATTTTTCTCTCTCTCTTTTTTTTTTTTTTTTTTACAAATAAATATTTTATTTTTATTATTATTATTTATTATTATGATATGACCAAAGATGGCATAGTTTGAAGCAATTATGCTTTACTTAGATTTGGAAATTTAAATTTTAATATAGTTGGCATAATGTGTGGGGGCTATTTTCTTTTTATTTATTATTTTTTTAATTATTGATTGATTCTATTTTTAAAAAAATTAGAACCAAACCAAATCACTCAACCGATGTGGGATACCGGTTGGTAAATGTAACGATATTTTCCACTTTAGCTCGTATCACCAACAGTCTTACGATTTTGAAACCACACCTATAAAAAGAAAGTTCATTCTCATGATATCTGACTATGATACCATTTGTAATAACACGAGGCCACTGTTAATAGATATTGTGTGTTTTGACCTGCTATGTATTGTCATCAGCCTCACAGTTTTAAAATGCGTTTATAGGGAGAGGTTTTCAGACCCTTGAAATATTTTGTCCTACTCTCCAATCGAGGGTTCTTTTAGTAAAAGTACAGGACACCATTTCGTGAAAATTACGAAAAAGAGAATACCTTGGGTTGGGTCGGGTTGAGTTTGGTTTGGTTTGGTTTGGTTTATTAGAAGGAGGTTTGCTTTTATGAGTGATAATGGGTCAACTACTTTCAAACTAACACACTTCAAAATCATTATGAAATTAAAAGCAAAAAAGTTATCCATTTTTAAGTCAATTCTACTATTATTATTTTAAAGGGTAAATTTATTATTTATTTATTTTTTTGGGAAAAGACCCAATTACCCTTTTTGACTAAACGTTGATGGGATTTTTAAAACATAATTTTAAAATAGTTAAAAAAAAAAAAAAAAAAAA